CTATTCATCGCTTATAGTATAAAAGTAGCTACAGGCAATAAATAAACAAAAGAGCATGGCTGTATTCCAGTTAAACTTTATTTATGGACACTGAAATTTGAATCTCATAACTTTCATGTTATAAAGTATTGTTTTTCTTTTGATTTTTTTTCAAACATTACACTCACAGAATGCACAGAAATAGATAGCAGGCTAGATGCGGTTCTTAGGTGCATACTCAAGATAAATGAATTTATATCCATCAAAAGATGAAGAATGTTCAGAGTGATCCCAAAGTGGAGAAATCTAAATATTTATCACAGAATAGTGTATAAAAATGTCAATTTATTAATATAAAAACAGGTTGCTCCATAGCAATGAAAAAGAATGAACTATGCCTGTGTACATTGTGTTGGATGATTATCACAAAATGTTGTAAAAGAAGATAGTCACAAGGATAAATACTATGTGATTACATTATATGAAGTTCTGTAATGGCAAAGATAACTTGTGGGTTTAGAAATTAGTACAGAGGTTGCTGGTGGGACAAACGAGATTAAAGGGAAAGGAATTTGATAGAAAATTCTTTATTTTAATATAGGTGTTAGTTTTATTCACATACATATATATTTGTCAAAACTTCAAGTAGTACATTTAAAGACCTTTATAAATTACCCCTCCATACAAAATATCCTTTACATAATTTAAAGACAAACCAATTAGTTGCTGACATTTAACAGTATACTATTTCTTGTACAATACATATTTCTGACCACAGTGACCCATGTTCCCCTCATAGAAACTATCAACTAGAGCTTTGAACTTCCAGTATGGTAACCAATAGCCATGTGTGGCTGTGGAGCACTTCAAATGTGGCAAATATGAATTGAAGTGTGCAATGAGGGTAAAGTTTGAAGATTTAGCATGAAAAAATAATGTAAAATCTTTCATTAGTCTTTTAGCACTGCTGGGGATCCAATCTAGGGCCTTTTGCATGCCAGGCAAGTGCCTTACCCCTAAACTATATCTCCAGCCCTCATTAACAGTTTTTTTTAATGTTGATTTTATGTTGAAGTGATGATATTGGGTTAAAATGGATTATTAAAGTTAATTTCACTTTTTAGACACTTTAAAATTAGTTTTATTGTGATAAAATGCCTATAACATTAAATTTTTCATCTTACTCATTTTTTTTTAAAAGAGAGAGTGAGAGAGGAGAGAGAGAGAGAGAGAGAGAATTTTTTAATATTTATTTCTTAATTCTCGGCGGACACAACATCTTTGTTGGTATGTGGTGCTGAGGNTTCTTAATTCTCGGCGGACACAACATCTTTGTTGGTATGTGGTGCTGAGGATCGAACCCGGGCCGCACGCATGCTGGACGAGCGCGCTACCGCCTGAGCCACATTCCCAGCCCCCATCTTACTCATTTTTAACTGTACAGTTTAGTAGTATTAAGTATATTCACATTGTTGTGCATCCAATTTCTAGAACTTGTTCACCTTGCCTTGCAAAAAGGAAACTCTGTACTCATTAAACAACTCCCTATCTCCTTGCCCCCAATCCCCTGGCAACCGTCCTTCCATCCTTCTACTTCTGTTCTTGTGAATCTGACGACAACTCTTCTTCATTTTTTTCTTTTTTGGTTTGGTACATGGGATGGATCCCAGGGCAGCTTAACCACTAAACCACATCTCCAGCCCTTTCTGTTTTCTTTATTTTGAGACAGGGTCTCACCAAATTGCTTAGGCCTTGCTAAGTTGCTGAGGCTGGCTTTGAACTTGTGATCCTCCTGCCTTTGCCTCCCAAGTCTCCAGGTGTGTACCACTGCACCCGGCTCCAAGTATGACTATTCTTGATACCTCATATAAAGGGAATTGTATAATATTTGTCTTTTTATGAGTAGCTTATTTCACACTTTAAAAAACGTTTTTTTTTTAACATGGCTTCTACAAAATGCACAGATATGTATTTGACTCACATTATATTTCTAGTGAATGGATTTGAATGACTGACCATAAACATGTTAGATGGAACATGGGTTCTTTTGCCTGGCCTTGACCCCTCCCAGTTATCAGTAAATTGAGGCCCAGTACAACTTGCCATTATTATTGAGTATATGCTGCTTACATTTTTACTTACATTTTTGAGGAAATTTTAAAAAAATGTTTTTTTTATCTATGTCGCCATCAAATATGGAAAAACAAGATTTTTCCTTACTTTTTAGAGGCCCCCCGTGTTTGAAAAGGGGGAGGCATCGCTTCTTTAGTGGAAGGGAAAAACAGTCATTTAATATACAAAGCAGTGATGCACACCTGTAATCCCAGCAACTCAGGAGGCTGAGGCAGGAGGATTGTGAGTTCAACCCAGCCTCAACAATTTAGCAAGGCCTTAAGCAACTCAGCGAGACCCTGTCTGTAATAAAATATAAAAAAGGGCTGGGGATGTGGCTTGGTGGTTAAACCACTTGTGAGTTCAACCCATGGTACCAAAAAGAAAAAAAAAATAGTATACAAAGCACTTCTATGTTCAAAGACTGTAACCTAAGATACCATTATGAAACAATTGTTGCTTTGGGTGGCTTCTCATTGAGAGACATTCTATGATTCTAATGAACTACTATAAAAGGACCTTCTCCTATGATTTATTGACACACATCATTGCATAGCATATACTTTATTGATTAATTTCCTAAATAAAGTTTCACTGTTAAATTTGGTGTGTGTATGACAAGGAAAAACATTTAGACTGTAAAGTTATAGAGTCTTTATTTTTAAATAGGTTTTAGCAGCTTAAGGGAAATGGCACCCTCATGAAAGGTTTCAGTGATAAGAATGTTATTGTGTATGGTTACAGTTCTGTTAAATGAAGATTGTTTAAAACCACATGACTGAAGAAAGTACAAGAGAAATTGAGCCATATTTTGTCTTTTGCTGTTTGATGGCCATCTGGGAGAGTGTGTTTATTTCTTAGGCGAACAGTTCTGTAGAAATGCCATAGTCAGAGTGGGAGAATGTTTGAAATGACAGTTTCCTAAAGGGCATCTGGGACTTCTATTTAAGTCCTAGCAACACCACAGGTTGCATTGTTCCCTAGAGTGGTCTTTTGAATGCCAGTAAAACACTGTTCAGGGGCTTATAAATCCCGAGATTCTCTTGGTTTTCTTCCTCAAGAAATACTTGGAAGTAGAATCATTGTTTCATGGGCAGATCAGGATACAAAATATTTTATATGATCTTGTTCCATCTTTTTAGATGGCTTTTGCAGAGTGTGCTGAAACTCTTTTCTGAAAATAGAACATAGATTGGCTTATATTTGATTCACTGAAACTCTGGAGTTTCTTTTCTCATGCAAGACTTTTGAAATCCATTCCTGCTTGAGTGCTGGAGAACTGCCCAAGGTTGGGAAACAATAAAACATTAAAAATGGCGGCTCTCCTCTCTTTAGAGGAGAGTCTTGGTTTAATTTTCCAGATTGGTTCCTCTATTTATGTCTCTTGGGCCCTTGGCTGATTGATCACACAGGGATTTGTCATATTGCCTGCTTCTTTGAATCAAATGTGGACATAGCAACTAAAAATAAACATGATGTGGATATTGGAGAACCAGGGGCCTTCTTTGCCTGGGGAGCTAGGATACTTGCTGTTGCTAAGATGTTTTCTGGCTTTAGCACAGCATCAATCATTGGAAGTACAGCTGTGTTTTTGGAATGGAGGGCTGATGGAAGCTCAAAGCCAGGCTGATGAGTATTATCCTGAACAATGGATACAGATGCAAATCATTATGCATAATCCGTAATATTATCCTCCTTTTTGTGGGTCTTTGTGCTATGTGATTGTGTGTGATTTGCAGTGCTGAGAAGTATAAGTGTGCCAAAGTATCACTTCCATTTTCAGAATAGTTTTGTTAGAAATTTGAAAGATAAGTAAATACACTAGACTGTTGCAGTTCAGTTCTTTGTTGCATTGTGAGTAGCTAATGGTTTTGACATTAGAATCTTGTTGCACATTAGATTGATTGCTTGGACTTGATAATATTTTCCTTATTATATTATGTAAAGACAAATGGAGATTGAATATGAAAGTTCCTTAAAGAATTTCATTGAGTTCATCTATTCCTCCCATGCTCCTGCTCCCTATACCACTACGAATCAGCCTCCTTATATCAAAGAAAACATTTGGCATTTGATTTTTAAGGAAGGGAGGAGGCATGGGGTAATTAATGGTGATGGAATGTGATGATCATTCCTATCCAAAGTACAGGTATGAAGACACGAATTGGTGTGAATATTCTATGTATACAATCAGAGATATGAAAAATTGCGCTCTTTATATGTAATAAAAGTTGTATTGCATTCTGCTGTCATATAAAAATAAAAACATTACATAGAAAAAAAATTACATTGAGTGAAAAATTGTTCTACCCAGTAAGTTTGCCCTAGGAATAGGAGACCTTGATGTATAGTCCTGGTTAAGGACCAGCTATCTTGGGTTCAAAACATGGCTCATTCAAAGATGAAGCTTTGTGATCTTGGGGACACTTTTGAGCTCTTTCATGCCAGTTTTCATATCTATAAAGGGTATTGATAATGATAGCTGTATCTTACAGAGTTTCTGTGAGGATTAATTGAGTTAATATTTGGAGTTCCTGAACACTGCATCTGGCATATTTAAGCATTGCATAAGTTTTACTTGATACCATTTGTCACTTACTGTATTTATACAATGTCATATCTTTTTTTTCTTGGCACTGAACTATAGGACGAAATAGGAGGTCATTCCTGAATTTGTTTTGCAATGATTCAACAGCATTGAAAGGTGTTAAGCCAGAATACCTTGGTTAAAGTCATAGCATTTTTCTATCATGATATTTTTATGAATCCTCATTGTGCCTAATTGAATTTATATTTGGTGTTCTGATTTTTTTCCTCAAAAATGATTCATCTTTTTGGCCATTGAGTTCCCCTTTTTTGCAGTTTTAAATTAAAGCCTCACTTGAGCTTCTCTCTTTTTGGTCCTAAAGAACTGCCTCTGCCTCGCTTTATGATGTCAAAGAACGATGGCGAGATACGATTTGGGAACCCGGCTGAGCTGCATGGAACTAAGGTTCAGATTCCATATTTAACCGCGGATAAAAATTCCTTCAAAAGAATGGACGATGAGGATAAACAGGTAAACAATCCAATTAGGCATGTTCATTTGATTCTGATCCTTAAACTTCTCATAGCAGGGCCTCATGTCGGTTGTTAAGCTTCCAGCAAATCTCACCATCTGGAACACAATTATAGACTTGGAAGTGAGCCAGTAAAGTTTCCTTGTAGCAAGAAAAAGAGTGTGACGCATAGGAATTACCATGAGTCATCCAGGGGCCCTTTAGAGCCTACTTAAGTGTAGAATTGTATCTAAAATAAGGCTACTGATTTAATACATTTATTTGCTTTCTCTAGGTCATCCGTTTTCTTACTGGGTTCTTTGAAATGTAGCTTCTAGGAGTTAATAGGCCCTTTCTTCCAAAAAAGAAGTCTGGAGAAAAGGTTTTGCTGGGTAATATGTTTGGAGAATGCAGTTTCTTATCTCATTTTGGGGGGAAAGTTTTAACTCTCAGTCTTGGAAATTCATAGTGCATATTGGCACATTACAGACCCTAAGAAGTACTGCTGTGAAGAGACCTGGAGATCTGTGTTTACTATGTTCCTTACACCAGGGAATCCTTTCAAGGGGACATGTTTGGAATGCCATCTTGAAGAGTGCTGCTATTACCTGTTTAGCAGGTTTGGAACCAGAATAGGGAGAATGGGCTTTTAAAATTGGGCCACTAATTGCAATAGTCAGATGTTAATTGGTAGAGACAAAAATATGAAATCTCAGAAGAATGGGCCTATTAAGAAGAGATAAATAGTCTACACATGAGTAAACCCTGAGGACACCAAGGCAAGAGCTCATATTTCTGATAAGGAATCTGAACCACATAGAGAAGTCAAATTATATTTGACATAGTGTTTTCTACATGTTAAAGAAATATGGTATATTTTAGGAAGACTTAAATCAAAATTTTTAAATTTAATGGACATTAAAGGATTATATCGGAGGATTAACTTATGGCTCACCTTGATGATGTTGAATATCTGAGGCATTGCTGCAGAAATTTTATATTTATAGTTAAGGGAGGTGTAGCACATCCTGTTAATTGCATCTACTATTGCTTCTGACACATTTTAAACTAGCTCTTCAAGGATATATTAAAAAAGGGTGGTGTAGGAATTTCTAGTCAATATTTTTTGACATGTTTCCCTGCCAACATTTGGAGAGGAATGAAGATCCCCAAACACACAGTGGTTGATACCAAGGGAAATTTCCAGGCCTGGTCCCCTGGCTGTGTGAATGAAGGTTTATCCTTTCACTTGAGGCTGGGGTCATAACCATTCTCTGGGTATGAGTATACACTTGAAAGCAAATATATCCCCCCCTCTTTTTTTAAAAAGAGTATTTGTTCAGTAGCTCAGATCGTATATATCTCTTTAGACTAAGGAAACCAGTAGTCTCTGTGTTTTGAAAACAAACAAACAAAAAAACACTGTTCCCTTATTACTTGGGTACCACAAAGTTACTACTTTATTGGTAGTGTTTGAGAGAACAAATAAACAAAAACAAAAAAAAAAAAAGAAGAAGAAGAGGAGGAGGAAACCCAGCATCATATCAGGTTGTTCACCTTGCCTAGGGTCCTATATCAGGTTCATATTCGAATTGGGATTCAAATTATAGCTTGTGAAGGCTTCATCCTAGTATTTAGGAGAAGTCTAGTCAGAGTGGTTTAGCAGTAATGTATTGTTTGCAGTCTCTTAGTGTAAAAGAAAGTAAAAATGCTAACATTTTACATTGGCAGAGTAAGCTCCAAGAATATTTAGCATTAAGGATTTAAAATATAAATTTAAAATAGAAGGGAGATCAGTGGAGTCAAGGAAGATAATAGAAGGTGAGGGTTAGGGTTAGGGTTAGATAGGGAGGAACAGTATAGTGAAATTGATCAAGTTATGCTATATGCGTATATGAATATACCAATGTGAATTTCACTTTTAATATCTATAAAGTACCAATTTAAAAACTATAAATAAATAGAAGGAAGACCAATAGAGTAGAGAAAGGGGAACAGGGGGAGGGAGGAGAGAAGGGAAAGAGGAAGGAACTACTCGAAACTGAGCTGAAGCAAATTATATTCCATGCATGTGAGATTATGTCAAAATGAATCCCAATAGTATGTATAACTATAATGTCTATAATGAACTAATTATATATAATATATATATTTCATTATCCACATTTGCTGGGAGACTTGATAAGTGTAAATCCAGGAAATAGAAGTCTTTATTAATGAATGAACATTGAATCTATCCACAAAGTAATCACAATTGGGGAGAATGAATGTTATTTCATATGGTCAGTGTCTTTCATTTTTTTAAAGGAAAATATTATTAGAATAACTGAAAGAGTTTCAGGCTTGTTTTAATGATTTAGGTAACACTGGTGAGACTTTGTTCTCTGAGAGACTTTTGAATCCTCAGACACTGCCTTTTAACCTTGCTGCATTTTTTTGAGGAAACATTTCTCCCATTTGTTAAATTAGCCGGGTCACTGGCCGTAGAGTTGTGCTCTGCTTCCTAACCGCGGCTCAGAATGCCAGTCTTCTCAAGTGGTTGCCTCTGAACTCTGCTCTGGTTCTTTGAAGCAGGAAGCACAGTCTCCCACGATGTCACCCCTCGCCTCCCCTCCTTCTTCCCCGCCTCATTATCAGAGGGTGCCCTTGAGCCATGGCTACAGCAAACTGCGGAGCGGCACAGAACAGATGCATCCAGGTAAGATGCAACCTGGGGGTCAGCTGTCCCAGGCAGTGTCTTAGAGGTTTTTGAATCTACCAGGCAGCAGTGCTACCAGCTGCTTAATTTCCTGATTTAATTACTCTTGTCTTTGGAAACATGGCTCAATTTAATTTTATATTCTCAAGCAAGGTTTTTTTTTTTTTTTGTTTTTGTTTGAAAATGAAATTAAATATATCTCAGTAATGGTTTGTTTCCTGTCCTAGAAACTCATTCATCTTTAGACTTGTAAACAACTATTTATATGGTATAACCTTTCATATACGGATTTTGTAAAATAGGAGCATAGCATGCTAAAGATTTTCAGTTTTGGGGAATAGTTATTCCTTTTTGCAAACATATCAAACATTTTTTATATAATAGCTGCCTTTATGAAATTTCTTTAAAATGTAGCTATGCAAAAGCAAATGATTTGATCCACCCTTTAAAGACTGAGCACATAAGTGAAAATATTGAGCTGTTGTGTTTTGGAATAAAAATAAAGGAAATGCTAGGGAAAGGATTTTACTGAAAAGCATGCAATACACACAATTGTGGGGCTGCCTGCTTGCTCACATTTATGCTCTGCTGGCTATGTTAGTGGTAAAATATGTTAGTTGGTTCTGAGGATGACTTGCAAAGTTGGCTTCCTGGACTGTAATGTTTAAAGCTCCATAAATTCACCGCAGCATCTTGTCCTTCTAGGGTTTAGGCTCCCAGTTTTACAATAGGACCGATGTAAGGTATTTTTGAATTGGCTGTACTATATAGCCCCCCTCCCCCTTTTATTTGGTGGGCAGTGACTGAAAATGACCCAGTTTCTGTGGGTTTTTTTGCTGCATTGAAAATAGTAGGGCTTCCTGAGGGTCACAGAAACAAAACTGTGTTCTAGGCTGAACTAGAGAGACTGTAAACTGGCAGAGAGAAGCAGGGATGACATGATGGAAAGAGTTTTGGATTGGAATCAGAAAGTCTGGGATTCTGTGACTAGCTACATGAATTTGGGCAAGCCATTTAACTTCTCTGAACCATACTTTTCTTGCCTCTTTTAACATACAGTCACAGTGTCCTTTAGGGATGTTATGAGCTTCAGTAAGAATACGAATATAAAATCTGTTTGGGAAATTAATTCCTGTGTAAATGCAAGATGACATTGCTAATGGATAGTAACAAAAAAAAATCACTTTCCTGAAAGTTGAATATCCCACTGGTGTTGAAAACTCAACAGGGCTAAAAATTCTTCATTATCCTCTTATCGTTTCCCTTGCCTGATTTCTCTATTTTTAGAAGTAGGTCTTTTTTCTCTTTCTAATATTATTTGAGCTTTGGAAGTTGGTTTTAAATTCATAGGTCAATTTGATTTTCTTATACTGAGTCAGCCTGTCGCTAAGTTCTACCTTCTATATTATTTAAAAAACTTGTCTGTACTCTTATTTCTTGCCCCATCCTTTCATTCCATTCAAATTGGGCTTCTAAGTTGCCCAGTGCCAGCAAAACATCCTGCTTCTTTCTGGACTTTTAGCAGCCTATGCTAAGGATGTCCATGCTTCCATGCCTCTTTATACTTTTTTTAAAATTATACTTATATATGACAGAAGAATGCATTACAATTTTTATTACATATACAGAGCACAATTTTTCATATCTCTGGTTGTATACAAAGTATATTCACACCATTTGTGTCTTCATACGTGTACTTTAGATAATAATGTCCATCATATTCCACCATCATTTCTAACCCCATGCCTTCTCCCTTCCCCTCCAACCCCTCTGCTCTATCTGGAGTTCATCTATTCCTCTCATGTTCCCTCTCCCTATCCCACTATGAATCAGCCTCCTTATATCAGAGAAAACATTTGGCATTTGGTATTTTGGGTTGGCTAACTTCACTTAGCATTATCTTTTCTAACTCTATCCATTTACCTGCAAATGCCATGATTTTATTCTCTTTTATTGCTGAGTAATATTCCATTGTGTATATATAACACATTTTTTAATCCATTCATCTATTGAAGGGCATCTAGGTTGGTTCCACAATTTAGCTATTGTGAATTGTGCTGCTATAAACATTGATGTGGCTGTGTCCCTGTAGTATGCGTTTTTTTTTTTTTAAAGAGAGGAGAGAGAGAGAGAATTTTAATATTTATTTTTTAGTTTTCAGTGGACACAACAACATCTTTGTTTGTATGTGGTGCTGAGGATCGAACCCGGGCCGCATTGCATGCCAGGCGAGCGTGCTACTGCTTGAGCCACATCCCCAGCCCCTAGTATGCGGTTTTTAAGTCTTTTGGGTATAGATGGAGGAGAGGGATAGCTGGATCAAATGGTGGTTCCATTCCCAATTTTACAAGAAATCTTCATACTGCTTTCCATATTGGCTGCACAATTTGCAGTCCCACCAGCAGTGTATAAGTGTACCTTTTCCCCCACATCCTCGCCAATACTTGTTGTTTGTCTTCATAATAGCTGCAATTCTGACTGGAGTGAGATAAAATCTTAGAGTGGTTTTGATTTGCATTTCTCTAATTGCTAACGATAGTGAACATTTTTTCATATATTTATTGATTGATTGTATAGAAACAATCTGTGAGGTGAATAGAGAGCCTACATCTTGGGAGTAAATTTTTACCCCTCACACATCAGATAGAGCACTAATCTCTAGGGTATATAAAGAACTCAAAAAGTTAAACATACACACAAAAACAAAACAAAATAAAACAAAACAAAACAAATCCCCCAAATAACCCAATCAGGCCAAGGACCTGAACAGACACTTCTCTTTATACTTTTTAAGTGAGGTAAAATTTATACATGATAAATGCACACTTTTGGGTGGGAGGTATTGGGGATTGAACCTAGGGGTGTTGAACCATTCAGCCACATCACCAGTCCTTTTTCTTTTCTTTTCTTTTTTTAAATTTTGAGACAGGATTTCGCTAACTTACTAAGGGCCTTGCTAAATTGCTGAGACTGGCCTAAAACTTGCTATACTCCTGGTTTAGCCTCCTGAGTCACTGGAATTATAGGCATGTACCACTGTGCCTGGCAAAATGCACACATTTTAAATAATCAGTTTGAGTTTTAACAGATGAATATGCCTGTGTAAACACCACTTAAATAAAAATACATTTCCATTACTCTCCAGTCACTGCCTACTCCCCAATGCAAGGACAGTTTTTTTTAAGAGAGAGAGAGAGAGAGAGAGAGAGAGAGAGAGAGAGAAAGAGAGAGAGAGAATATGAATTTTAATATTTATTCTTTAGTTTTCGGCGGACACAACATCTTTGTATGTGGTGCTGAGGATCGAACCTGGGCCACACACATGCCAGGCGAGCGCGCTACCTTTGAACCACATCCCCAGCCCACAAGGACTGTTTTGATTTTGTTACACCATCTTGCCTCTTCTAGAACTTCATGCAAATGGTAACATACAGAATGATTGTATTCATTTGTGTCTACGGGCCTTCCCTCAGCATAGTGGTTGAAATTCACTGTTACAGTGGTACTGGTAGTTCCTTTTGTGTTATTATTCAGTAGATTCCAAAATGTGACTATATTACAATTTGATGGTCATTCTCTGGATGGACATTTGACTTGTTTCCCAGTGTTTGGCTGTTATGAATAAGGATACTATGAACAATTTTTGCATTAATCTTTTTGTGACATATGCTGTTATTTCTCTGGCACATAGTAGTGGAATCTCTAGGTCTTAGTATCATAAGAAAGAAACTGGCAGAGTTTTAGTTTGATAGTAAACTTTGGAGTGATGAAATCTTAAGATTTTTTTAAAAATAGTTCTTCCTTTGGAGAAAGATGGTACTTTTCTTTCCTTCCTAAACCTCCTGTAAAGTGATTGAAGAATTACTTTGTTTGCATTGAATTGAATGTTTTGGGTTTCATTTGGGAGCAAAGCAAGCCAATACAATAAATAACCCCTACCTTTTAAGTTCCTGAGTTCAGGCCCAATTGAGAAATGAGCCAGAAGTCAGACTGGTCTGATGATGACCTGAATATCACTTTACACAGCTGACTGGAATATGTCATAGATATGTGGCCTGATGGACTTCAGACACTCATATTTAGTCATAGGCAGGGTTGATGAGATCAGGCTTTCCATATAGTAGGAAGAGGAAATCTACCTTCAGAATGACACCCCCTTCCCTGACTTCATGCCACTGAGTCCTCATCTAGGCCTCCTGATGAAAATAACCTCTCCCTCCCTCCCTCTCACTTTGTATCTTCCTCCCTCCAAGGGAACACCTTGTAGGTGAGGGACTAGAGGTGAAGGCCAGATAGTGGTTTCCTTCCTCACATCTCCCGCTGGCAAATAAGAGCCTCTTCCTTCTAATGTGAAGCACATGGAACTCATGGGCTTTGCCTCCCAGGTGAACTTTATGACCACTGTGATTCCAACCATGCTATGGTTAATTGTTTAAAATCTTTTGGCAAGCTAGACACTATGGTGCATGCTTGCAATCCTAGAGACTCACAAGTTTGAGGCCAGACTTGGCTACTTAGTGAGATCTGTCTCAAAATAAAATAAAGAGATGGAGGTAAAGCTCACTGGTTCAGTCCTCAGTACCATTTAAAAAAATCTTTTGGCAGAGTGCAGTTGGTATTAAGTGTTGAAGTCAGTATTCAATCAACATGGAATAACTTACAAAATATCCTATTTGTCACAAGGTACCAGCTGACTTACTTTTTGAAATTTGAATTATGTGCTTTCAATATATATTTCTTTTTCAGTTTTTCTATTTGTATCCATTCTTTGTAGGTTCTGAAAATCTACTTAAGGATTTTCCAGGCAATCATTTTGATATTTTAATATGTTATTATATTGCTTTCTAGTTGCTAGGAAGAAATATAGAAAGCAGATGTGAGCCCAGTAGTGTTTTGTTTTTGATGTACTGTTGTTATACCTTCTTTATTTTAGAAAGAACAGTGGTAAACTGATCCCATAAGAGGCTGCTCTGCTCTCCATCTAATTTTATTTATAAGTAAACTAAAGAAAAAAAGTATTTTATGTATTTACATTCTGTCCAGAACTTGGACTGTTAACCCACAGAGATGAGAAATAGTTTCAACTTGGGTGAGAATTGCTCCTTTCTGTTGGAGCTGAATACTACCTGGTTATGTTGAACTGTCTTCCTGCCACATTGACAAGGTTATTATTAAGTGTTCTGGAAACAAAAGAAGTAAAAAAAAACATTATTTTTTGGGCCTTACAAACTTTTTTTAAAGGTAGTGAAATCATTTTTGAAGTTTGGCTACTGAATAGCAGAATAGTATAAATATAAAATACATTTATTCATTTTTGTACTTTATTCGGTTTTGTCTTCTATATTATATAGAAGGAAGACAGTGCTATTTATTTTAAAAAAATAAATGGTAATGTTGATTTTTAGTATTCAAAATGCATATTGATTTTCTTCAGGGTTGGATGGTGAATAGAAGACATTTAAACAGAGGCATATATAGAATTTACCTCATCTAGAATTTGGACACTTTTAACATGGCACTTTTCTAGCTACTCTTTTTTTAAAATTAAAATTAAAGTTTTCACTATTTCAGCCACACACTTTATTCCTTAATGTTAACCTGTTGTAAATATTTTTCTGCTTTAGTGTGAATTCATTGGATGTCTTTAGACTATTTAGTGAAATTGTGCCCAAGGATTCATCTGTCCTAGGTGGCCCTTTGAGCCTATGCTCTAATTCCTTTGCCAAGTCTTCCCTGAAAAGCAGATGCTATATCAGTTTAAATGTGAAGTCATAATTTTTGGATGGAATTGTTGCATACCATGCTAACTTTCTCTCCTGCTCTTTCAGCTCCTTATGAAGCTAGACAGCCCCTTGTCCAGCCTGAGGGACCCTCATCTGGGGGTCCAGGAGCCAAACCCCTTCGGCATCAGGCTTCCCTTATCCGGGTAAGTAATGAAGTAGGGCTCTGCCAGTGAAAGAGTGGAGACAAGCTTTGAATTTTGGGGATGTGGCTTTTTTGGTGGGGAGTACTGGGGCATTCGACCACTGAGCCACATCCCTAGCCTGATTTTGTATTTTATTTAGAGACAGGATCTCACTGAGTTATTTAGTGATTTGCCATTGCTTCGCCTGGCTTTGAAATCGCAATCCTCCTGTCTCAGCCTCCTGAGCCACTGGGATTACGGGTGTGTGCCACAGTGCCTGGCTGAGGATGTGGCTTTTTGATGGACCATCTTTTACCCTTCAGGGAAGATATATAACTACCTCCATGCACAAATAACTGCATTTCTTGTTCTGTTGCTTGTATATTTTCTATTGTGTTTATTTCTACTCCTCTTCATTGTCTTTAGATAAACCAGGCTAGTCCTTGATTTTTGTTCTCAATCTTTAGATATAAAGCATCCTTCCGCCTTTATCTGCTTAATCATGAGGTAACTCCTTCAAGGAAAGCTTTACTTTTTCTAAAGCAGCCTGTTTTGTCTATACCTTTTCTTTGTTATAATTAATTCAGTACATAATTGTTTTCCATTTGGTTTGTGCCTTCAATTATAAAAGGCAGCAGTACTTCCATATTCTCTCACTGTCTAGGACAATGCTGTTTGGAGAATAGTTATTTTGCAAGTGGCAGAAACTACAGTTTTTATGTGTCAGATACAAAAGAACAGGTGATAATCTCATTTTTTCCTGGCCACATTACAGCTTTAGACAGCTTCAGCTTTTCCAGTGTTTTCCATTGGATAAAGAGCTCTTATTTTTTTTCTATGTCTGCAGCTGTTGTCTTGTGAAGTAGTTGACTCCTGTGGTGAAGTCGTTTTCTCAGAAGAATGATGTGTGTGTGCCTGTGTGTCTGCTTGCAGAGGATAAATTATAAAAAAACTATGTTTATTGTTTAACACTAAATACAAGAGGAAGTGGGGTGGTTTGTGTAACATTTCAATTGTATAATTCAGGAAGAAGGATCATTTATTCACAGAGAGTTCTGCTTAAAATAGAAGAGTGATGTTGGACACTCTCATAAAGAAGTGGACTATTAGATTGGAAGTCTGAAGAAGATCCTGGAGTTCACTGAGTCCTTTCTGGGGATGGGACCTTGTGTTAGGCAAGGTGCAGTAGTTGATCTTTTAAAGTGGTACTCTGTGTATAAAGAACTTTCTTAAAGATAGTAGTTCAGTCATGTGTGATATATTTAGCACTTCCTATAACCATAAGCTCTAGGTACTGCTCTATTAATGAGTTGACTTTGGCTGAGGTCAAGCAGCTCATTGAAGGTTTTATTCATTGGTAGTAAGTATCAGAGCCAGAATTTTTAAAAAATATTTTTTGTTGTAGACGAACACACAGTATCTTTATTTATTTTTATGTGGTGCTGAAGATTGAACCCAGGGCCTCACACATAGGAGGCAAGCGCTTTACCACTGAGCTACAGCCTCAGCCCCGGAGCCAGAATTTGAGTTGAGGCCTGTTCAATGTGAAAGCCTGCCCTTTGAGTCAGGCACAGTGTTGCACGCCTGTAATCCCAGGGGCCTGGGAGGCTGAGGCAGGAGGATCACAAGTTCAAAGCCAGTTTCAATAAAAGTGAGGCACTAAGCAAGTCAGTGAGACCCTGTTTCTAAATAAAATACAAAAAGAGCTGGAGATGTGCCCCAGTGGTTAAGTGTCCCTGAGTTCAATCCCTCGTACTCCCTCCACCAAAAAATCTGCCCTTTGAAATAATTTGCCCGTTAAGAGTTCTATATTATAAGAAGGCTAGGTTCTAAAGTTGCTTTATAAATAAACATTGGGTATAGTAAAAAAGCATCCTTTTAGTGAGCATGTGTTGTGCTTATTATGGATCCTATAGCTTCACACATGCTAGACAAATGCTTTACCACTGGGCTACATACACAGCCTAAAAAGTATTCTTTTTAAAAATTTTTTTGTACTTGTAGATGAATAGCATGCCTTTATTTAATTAGTTTATTTTTATGTGGTGCTAAGAATTGGACCCAGTGCCTCACATGTGCTAGGTAAGCACTCTGCCACTGAGCTATAGCCCCAGCCCCTAAAAAGTGTTCTTGAAAATTCTTTTTTGGTACCACATTGGGAAATTAAGATGCCATTCTCTCCCAAGGCCAACACAGCTCAATTTTACCCCCAACTTGGAACAGATAGTTGTTTCTTCAGCTGAGCCCCAGATGTAGTAGTTGGCTGCATTTAAAGATCTTGTGGTACAAAAATATGTGCTTCTAAACACCAGATTCCCATCCATTGTAGAGATATATTTATGTTGGGGAAGGTATTGGAGACACTGGGATTCATCCCCAGACTCTCCAGGTTATGATTGTGCAGGTTCCTGCAGAGTATGTTCTGGTTATGTGGAGACTAGATCTTCAATGGTTAGGATGATGATCAGACAAGCAGTGAATCCTGAGCTTTGTAGTGCTAGGACAGGAGTTCCTGAATGCCTTCTACCAAGACCCTGGAAGGGATGGCCATGAGCACTTACTTGGATTGGTGCCTTCTGACTTCTCTTTTGATCTCTAGGTACTCCTTTCTGCTGATAAACATGCTTCTTGAGCCATTCACTGAATTAATATTTAGAGATACCTGTTAAGTGCTGCTCAGGTAGTGTGTTCAGGATATAAAAATGAGGTCTAACACTAGCAGTCCCTGCCCTTATAGAGCTTATAGGCTATTGGAGGAGATGTTCATTAACCAAACCATCACAAGGTAAATATATAATTATTGATGGGCCTAAGTAAACTCCTCTTATTAACAGCAATGTCTTTGAGCCCCTAGGTCAAAATTACAGCAGGATAATAAGATGAACAAACCAGCACCTGCAAAAGTGTGAAGTAGAGCAAAGAGACCCCAGCAACAGTTATGATATGTGATGTGAACACAAATTATACTGTGCTTCTAGGATGAAAAATGGGGGTAAGGTATGACCTAGCCTGGACAGACAGGGACTGATCAAGGAAGGCTTCGATAGGGGAGTAATATTTGAGTTGAAATGAGAAGGATACAGAGGTGTTCACCAGAACAGTGAATGGGGAACAGGCTAGAAGACAGAATTGCCTATACAAAGACATTTTCCACATGCTTAGCATTTTGTACACATTAACTCTTTTGAGTTAATTACTGTTATCCCATTTTTAAAAAGGTAACAAAACCTGAGGTTTTTTTTTTTTTTTTGAGAGAGAGAAATTTTAATATTTATTTTTTAGTTTTTGGCGGACACAACATCTTTGTTGGTATGTGGTGCTGAGGATCGAACCCGGGCCGCACGCATGCCAGGCGAGCGCACTACCGCTGAGCCACATCTCCAGCCCAAAACCTGAGGTTTTAAATACTTAAGGTTTGCCTATGGTCACAGTTAGGAAGTTGTAGGATCAAAGTTCAGATATTGGATACATACCATTCTCTGTACTGATTGCTGGTTTCCGAACTGGATGGATGATGATGTCATTTTCAAACGAAAAACTGGTGCCGGGAGAAAATGGTGTCATAGATCAGTGTTGTATATTAGGAGTTGAGCTTCTGAGAGCACAGAGGAAGTAACCAAGAGTTGGCAGGTTCAGTGGGTCTGGAACTTTGGTGAGATCTGAAGCTGGACATATGTATTTGACAGCAATTGGTCATCAGAAGGTCTTGTGGTATACTGTAGAGAACTGCCCTGCGGTAAAAGTTTTCATTTCTATATGACAAATGACTCAGCATGGATTTATCAATGCATTGTAACAAGTCCCACCATCTGATTCTCTTAATGTTTGTTTGGCATCAGTAGAGATTCTCCTGCCTCCTGTTTGAAGCATGGCCTTGTTGAAGATGAGAGCAAGGGCCCTTTCTTATTTAGGACAGCAGTCTGTGGTTTTTGTGGCTGATGTATTTTTCTTTCTTCAGTTCTTAGGTTTCCTTCTTATGCTTGTCAGCTTGGTTTGGCTGGACTCCATGTTCCAGAAAACAGAATGCCAACCTGAATTAGTTATGGAGATGAGGGGATTTGAAGTGAAGGTTCTTGGTGGAAGGGGATTAGTATTTATCAGGCATGGTACTAGGCTAGCTGGGTTGACTAATTCTTCTCATTTTGTTTTGTTTCTGTACTGATGGCAACCTTCTCTCTTCCTTCTAACTTCCTTTGTGGTCTGATATTCAAATCCATTCTGCCTGATTAGAAGGGTACATGGCCTCTAGGGTCCTGGGGAAGGCCTTTAGGGACCCCTGACTAGTGCCATTACAGATCTTGGATGTGGCATTTTACAAGTGCCAGTATACAAACATCAGAATGATTAATCTTTTTGCTTAATATTTTAGGAATTTCACTTTTTTTTTTTGGTTTGGGTGTTAGATGTTCCCTCCACCATTTCAGGTACTATGCATAACCTATGTTGGTGGGTGGTTGATAGTGGTTTGTAAAGAAATTAAGCCAGGAATGATGCCACATACCTTTAATTCTGGTGATGCTGAGGTAGCAGGATCACAAGTTCAAGGCCAGCCTCAGTCAGCAACTTAGTGAGACGCTAAGTAACTTAGTGAGACCCTGTCTCTAAATGAAACTGAAATGGCTAGAGATGTGGCTCAGTAGTTAAGTGCCGCTCAGTTCAGTCCCTTATACCAAAAGAATTATAAATTTCCTTTCCTGTTTCATGTCTTATCAGATGTAGAGATCATTTTGTGGTTTACTTTTCACAAGTTATCTTAAAAATCTAGACCATGTAGTCATTTGTGATTTTGTTGGCATAGGATTTTGAAGTATATCTTTTCCTTTCACTCCATATCCCAGCCTCTGTTTTACCTTGGTTTCCAGAATCTATCTTATGTTAAGTCCTTGTCTTATTTGACTTCTTGGCACCTATTGGCATTGGGCACCTTCTTAAAATGCTATCATCCTTTGGTGTCTGTGATGCCATACTCTCTTGGTTTTCATTCTGCTTCTCTGGCTACTTCTTCCTAACTTCTTTGCATT